TTGCTAAAGGAGGTGGGGAGTTGCTCTACAGAAAATGTACTTGGTTCTTAGCCCAGAGCTTTTCAAAAAATTGTCTGAATTATAAAATATACAAGATATGAGTATATATAATGTATATTAATACATGTAGTCACCACCAAGCTTAAGAGAACAATGCCAGTATCTCTGACAGCCAGTGTACCCTGTAGGCTCCTCCCTATCCATATCACCTCCCTCCCCTTTTCAGAAAAAAACCAGTGTCCTAATTTTGGGCTCATCACTCCCGTACTATAACTACTGCACATACAATGTAGCCCTAAATAATATTTGGTTTAGTTCTGTCTGGTTTTGAACTTTTATTTTTTCTCATTCAACATTATGCTTTTGGAACTCATCCACATTGATAATTATAGCCATGGTTCATTCATTTCACTGATATTACAGTATCTCATAGTAAGAACACAGCACAATTTATTTAAACATCCTACTGTTAAAAGCCATTTGAGGAAGAGGGTGAAACATCTGGGTAGTTTCTAGTTTGGGACCATTAGAAGAAAAAATGCTATCCACATTCCAATCCATTTCTCTAATACACATGCAGCAGGGGTTTCTCTAGGGGTATAGACTTAGGAGCGGAATTGCTGGGCCATAGGTAACACCTACCTTCAACTTTAATAGATTATACCAAACTGTTTCCCAAAATGGTTATACCACTGATACTCCCACCAGTTCCACACTCATCAACACTTGCTCTCATTGTGGTTTTAGCCTGTATTTCATTGATTTCTAATGAAGTTGAACATATTTTCACATATTTTTTAGTCATTTGTTTCCTCTTCTGTGAGATGACTATTTTCTTTTTTACCAATTTTAATGGCTAATTTTCTAATTTTTCATTCACTGGAGTCCTTTATTAATTCATATTCTATAAGAATCATTTGTTGGTTATTTGTGCTGCAATCATATTCTCCACTTTATGGCTTATCTTTTCATTTTTATAAGTCTTTTGATGAACAGAGGTTCTACATTTTAATGAAGTCAAATTTATCAATCTTTCCTTAGAGTTTGTACTTTTGGTGTATTAAGAAATCCTTTCCACCATGAGATGGTGAAGACATTGTCCTATTTTTTTTTCCTAAAAGTGTCATAAGTATTTACTTTCATACTGATATCCTTCATCCATCTGGAATTGATAATTTTTAACATAAGACAGAGATCCAATTTCATGTCTTTCTATTTAAACAATCAATTGTGCAAGCCTCATATTTTTAAGAAGTTTTTCCTTCCCCATTGACCAGCAATGCCAACTGTCATTTATTGAGTTTCCATATGTGTGTGGATCTGTTCCAGGGTTCTCTATTCTGTTTCACATGTCTATATTTTCATCCCTGTGCTTATACCCACATTGTCTTAACTACTATGGCTTCCTAATAAATCTTGAAATCTGGTAGAGCAAGTCAATCTACCTTGTTTCTCTTCTTCTAGCTATTCTTGGCCCTTTCTTCTTTCATATAAACTTGAAAATTATTTTCATCAAATTCTACCAAAAAATTTTGTTGAAATTTTCTCACATTAAATTTGATCAGTAGAGAAAACTGATATATCTATAATACCATTTCAACCTAGGCATGAACACAGTAGTTCTCTCTCATTTATATAGATCTGCTTTGGCTTTCCATAAAATTTTTAATTTCCTCCATGAAGTTTGGCATTTTCTTTGCTATAGATAGGTAGGATATAGATAGATAGATTCCTAGGAACCTCATATTTTGCTGTCATTGTTATTATAACTGGGGTTTTTAGGATCACTTTTTCTGTTGTTAATGTAGAAAAATGCAATTGACTTTAGTATCCTACATTTAGTGAACCTGCTAAACACTCTTTATTTTTATAATTTATTGTAGACTCTTTTGAGTTTTCTATGTAGATTATTATATCACAATGAGACTTTTGATTTTTCCTTTCCTATCTTTTCACCTTTTATTTCTTCTCCTTGTCTTATTGCAGTGACTAGGATTTCCAGTATAGTGTTGAATAGAAGCTATAGCGGACATCCTATTCATATTTCTGGTTTTAAAGGAAATTTTTTTTTAAATTTGACTGTTGCTATAATGTTAACTGTAAGTTTTCTGTAGATACTCTATCATGTTAAGGTAGTTTTTTTCTATTACTTGTTTGTTAAGTGCTTTTTTATCATGATTAGAAGCTGAATTTAATATTTTTTCTGTATCTATTGTTATGAACATCTATCTTTTCTAATCTGTGAATGCAGAAAACTATACACATTTTTCTAATAGTAACACAACCTTGAATTCCCAGAATAAGGCCACTAACCCAGGACTTTTCACTTGAAGACTTGGAAGAAGTTGAAGAGTTGGAAGAAGTTAGATGACACCAGAATAGAAACTATCTACTTTAAACTGTACAGTGCTAGTCCTACTTGTTTACCTGAAAACCCTGTCTCCCCCATGCCATTGTTCCTGACTCATCTGTGCCATCTCTGAGCTCTTAGAGTATTTATTATTGATGATGTTCATTTGATACTTTGCATGTGCTATTCTATACATGTCCTGTCTACTACCTAGAATACAAGCCCCTCAAAGAACAGCAACTAATAAGCACACAATAAATACTTGCTTAAAATGTTTAAAATATCCTTGTGGATGTGATGGTAAACATGAGCTGGATAATTACATAGCATCCTTAGAAAATGAGGCTTCTAGAAATATAAGTTTTCTTGAGAGCTGCTGTTTTAATCTCCTAACACTCACTGAAACTTTAAAATCATTCTAAATTGTACTCCACAGTTCCCTGCTTTGTTAACAGACTATGCTGACCATGACTTATAGATTTTTTGAATTAAGGATAATTTAACTTTTTCTTGTTGAGGACCGTCAATTATTAGGAATATCAGTTACAGTGTTGTGCTAGAGATATAGCTGTGGATACATAATGTGTGGGATGCAGAACCTCAGCTATTGCCCTGAACGAGTCTTTAACAGGGAGGAAAAAAAAAAAGGTAGGCATTTTTCCAATTTGGCATTGACTGCTAGTTAACTCTCAGCAGCGATTCATACTTTTCTTCCACCACTCTTCTATTCTCCCCACCTTCTTTTGCCCAAGAATTACATAAGGCAGAACTGTAGGACTGTGAAAAGTTACCATTTTAACCATGAAAAGTTACCATTTTCCTAGATTATAGCCTATTAGCTTGCTTTTTGGTTGCAGACTCTCTTTGTCTCTATACCTACTATTAGCTGACCTCATCACTACTTCTAATCTCTAGAGGGGACACAGCATATAGTGTAGCTAAGGGAATAGACTCTGGATCCAGGATACCTAGGTTCAAATACCAGTTTGGCACTTACAGGTGAAAACCCCTAATGACAAGTTACTTGACCTCATCATTCCCCAGTTTCCTCATCCATATCATGAGAATAAACATACATCTACCTCACAGGATTGTTATGAGAATTAAAGGAGTTAATATTTACAAAGTGCTTAGAACATGGCCTAGCACACAGAAAGCATTACATGGGTATTATCGAATAGATGGATAAAACAGTATCCACTTGAACTCCACCACTGTCTTATCTCCCTATCTCTTAAAACTGCTTCATTATTTCTCACTTTGGGTTGTGGTTGTACTGGTGGGGGTGGTCTTCTTTTCGGGGAGAAGGAGCAGTGCAGTCATTACCAAGGGATCGCAGCGTGCCTTCCCACTGCTCAGTGCCTCTACCAGACAGGGAGGAGAAGAGGGAGGGGAGGATCATGTACGTTCATCACTGCTCTATTAGCCATGAGAAGGTGAAGAAAATGGGGCTGTTTATTTCATCAGCATAACAGGAATCTAGGGACATGTGTGACTGCTGTTTTCAAATATTTTCAGGGCTGGGCTGGAGAAGAGGTGGCATTTAAAAATCTGTGGAACAGCTACAGGCTTCCCAACACTGAACATGTTTAAGCAGGGTATTGGTGGCCAGGTGTCAGGGTTGTTATAAGAAAGAATTTTTTAATTTAGAGTCAGACAACCTCCAAGATTCCTTCTACTTCCAAAATCTTGGCAATCCTAGTATGAGTCACTAAGACATACAACCTAGGTGTGAGTCACACATCGCCAACGCGCTCCTGAAGGCACAGAATTCTTCACTCCCCACAGTGCGTGGTACCTTACCACAGATCAAGGTGAGGAATTCTAGCCCTCAGGCTGCGTGTAACTCAGCTCAGAGCAACAAAAACTTTTCTGAAGCTAAGCGCCTCGGTGAGCCGATTAGCAAATACAATAACGCTTACATCCCAAATGGGACTTGGCAAAAAAGGTGCGCATCCGGATCAACCACCAGACAGTCCTTCACGTCACCCTTCTCAGAGGCCGGACAAAAGCAGACTGAAGAGAGCAGCAGGTCACGGGGAAGGGGCAGGGTGGCCGGGAGAAATGAGAGCTAGGCGAGCTGACACACGGGCAGGGAAAGGGACAAAGGCCTTGGGGACAGCACGCCGGGCTTGGAAGCTGCTAGGAATGCCCCGGCCCAGCAGGGCGGGCTCTGGACTAGGGATGCGAACGGGTGGCTGCAGCAGGTTAGGCAGCAGAGCCCTCAGTGCCAGCGGGGGGCCCCGCGGGGGACCGCTCTGCCTCCCGGAGCTGGGCTCTGCCATCCGCCCGCAGGGGCGGCCTCGCCCCGCCTGGGGCCACCGAAGCCGCTGCGCCGAGGCGGGTCCTGGGGACACAGGCCGGACAGCGCATCTGCCTGGCTCCCCGGCTCGGCCCCGCACCCACGCCCGCAGCCTTCCCTGCTGGTCAGCCCACGCAGCCTCGCCGCCAGATTTCGGATCGTCCAGTCTCTCGCCGCCCCGGTTGAGGCCCGTCCCCGAACCCCAGACAGGCGGTCGGACAAGCGACGCCGCAGTGCCGGCGCCGAATGTGGGGCAGCGGCTGCCTCCCGCCGGGTCGTGCGACCGGCCGCCGCCATCGCGGGCCGCGGCGGGAGGGCGACGAGGGGCCGCGCCGGACGCCGCTTTACCTGAGAAACCAGCGGCAGCAGCGTCTGCTCCACCGAGCGAGTTTTGATCTCCAGTCCCGAGTCGAAGGCGAAGCCCGACGGGCCGGAGCCACACACAGCTCCGGCGCCGCCAACGGCGGCAGGGCCGGGAGAGGCGGCCATGGTGCTCGGCTCGTCCCGCAGCCCGGACTCGGCGCCACTGCGAGCCCGCCGCCCGTCACCCAGCCTGCCCGCCGCGGCGGCAGCGGCGGTGCACCCGCGCCGCCCGAGGCCCCGCCCCCAAGGCCCCGCCCCCCCACAGCCTCTGTCCCGCCCCCGCGCTCCACTCTCGGGCCCACTAACCAGGTCCCTCCCCCGCAAGGCCCCGCCTCCTCCGACCCCATTCCCTGCCCCGCCCCTCTCTCTCCTGAGTCTCTTTTTGGGTGAGCTCCAAGCACTTCGCGCCCGGCTGGCAAGGAGAAACAAAACACCTGAGAGCCTCTCGCGGCCACGTGGCCTCTTACCTGGACGAGGACGACCGTTCCCAGTAAAGCTTCCCGTCCTCCCCATAGGTGACTCGTCCTAAATCAATTCTGAAATCCCGCAAGGATTTCTGGAAGCTGCGCCGAGGTTGAAACTGGTAAAGCAGAACCAGAGTCGTCTGCGGGGAGGGGCCTTTACCCGGGACCGGTAATCCTCTTTCTGGGGCTTCTCCGGAAGATCCCATCTTCCCTCCACTCTCGTTTTTTGTTTTTTGTTTTTTGTTTTTTTGAGACAGAGTCTCACTCTACTGCCCTGAGTAGAGTGCCGTGGCGTCAGCCTAGCTCACAGCAACCTCAAACTCCTGGGCTCAAGCGATCCTCCTGCCTCAGCCTCCCGAGTAGCTGGGACTACAGGCATGCGCCACCATGCCCGGCTAGTTTTTTCTATATATTTTTAGTTGTCCATCTAATTTCTTTCTATTTTTAGTAGAGACAGGGTCTCGCTCTTGCTCAGGCTGGTTTCGAACTCCTGAGCTCAAACAATCCGCCCGCCTCGGCCTCCCAGAGTGCTAGCATTACAGGCCTGAGCCACTGCGCCCGGCCCACCCTCATTTTTTGATCATATATTTCTCACACTTTAAGTGGGATTGAAGGTGAAACATTTGAAAATGCAATCACTTAAGGAGCATCTGGGCACTCGAGAAGAACACCATGTTTCAGGCTACTGTTTAGCCTGTTTACTATTTTTACTCTTCAAAAGGAAATTAAATACAACATGAACGGCTTCCTCTACTTTTCAACACTATTACTTTTCAAAACCAAAATTACTTTTTCCCTAGTGCCAGGCACGAGCAGTTTCTTAACTGTTCAGGGCATGAAAAGATCATTAGTGTGTATTTCTGACTGAATTCACTTAAGAAGGCAGCTAAGAATCAATCTGGAAGCACAGTTCTGAGCTTACACAGAGCCCCAGGATAGCAGGCAAAGCGGGACACTCTTTACTTACCCTAAGCCTCGGGGTCTCATGCTGACTTCTGGATCCTTGAGTGCAGCCTTTTGATTGAATCCAAACTTTACAGAACAAATCCTTTTAATAAAGATATTTGTTCTGTGAAGTTTGGATTTGGCCAAGGGCCATACGTGGCCTTGAGGCTGCAGGTTCCCCACCCCTGCCCTAAGGTTTTCAGGAGCAAAGCCAAAAGGTGTGTGAAGGATGCACTCTGTGAAGGAGTTCTACGCTTAAGCAATAGACTGAGAAGCATGAAGCAATGCTTTGTGAACTACTGTATCTGCCAATGAGAACCTATCAGTAAAAAAGAATCTCAGGCTGGCTAGTCCACCCTTACACCTGGGTCGGGATCATTTCTGCTTCCATAATGTCAGATTGATCAGCAGGATACCATCAACTTGAGGTGGCAGAAACCTCTTTCCCAAACACTGCTGAAATGTGCTTTGCGTTGCTTCCACTTGTCTGTTCAGCTTCATCTACCAGTACCGTACAGGTGTCTTTGGCATTGGAGATAGCCAAGTTTAGGAGGCTTCTGTCCGTTCAAGAAGTGCAGGTCCTTAATCCAACTTTCTTTTCTTCCAATTCTTACTCCTCAGCCACCCACTTCACCACTTCCTTACCTACCACAAGGCCAACTTCCCCTGTGTGCTGAGGGGCCTTCACCCTCTTTAAGGTGACCAGCATCCACTCCCCAGACACACCTTCCCTTACGGAAGCTGACTGTATTTCATCAACATCCAGTGAAAGCCTGGTGCCAAAAGGCAAGATATAAAGCTTAAGAGATAGATGGATGTATTCATGAAAGTTTGGCTTCTATTAATATAAATAAAGATCAAGTTTCTCAACAGATAGGAGACTCTTTACCACATGATTCATCCAACACTAGTAATTTTATTTCAAAATATAAATATTTTACATTTACAAAGAAGATACATCAGTAGAATGTCAAAGCAAGTTAAAGCTAATAAACAGCATTTGTGTGAGAATATTTATTGTTGTATTTGAATATTCTTTTTTATTTTCAAACCATCTCTCCTTTGCCTGAGAATGCAAAAATGATACATTTTCAAAGAATTACATAAACAATTACAACTATATATCCAATTTAGTTCAAAATCAAATGGTATTTGAATACACTCCAGTCACCTAAATAAGTGGCACTGCAAAGGACAAAGAAGGGTTTTCTTTGAGATAGGTACAGTAAGAATTACACTTTGAGTCACCGCAATAAAAAAATGGTATTTGATAAGCCAAAATGATGTTACTTTAGGATTTGTTTCCATACCTTTCATTGTAAAACATAAAGGTGGGAGAAAAATAAGAAACCGGTGTGGAGGAAAGAACTGTGGACTTGGAGTCAGAAGTTCTGCAACTGAATTCTGGCTCCATTGTTTCGTGGGATAAACTTCGGGGGAAATCACAGAAAAATCTTTCAGAGCCTCCAGTGCCTCATCTGTACAATGAGGATAATACTGCCTACCTCACAGGGTGTTACCAAAGGTGTCTGAAAACTGTAAAGTGCCATACAAAAGCATTATTAAAATGTAATATCAATATATAACCACTGCATTTGCACATTAATTGATCCTTGAAAAACTTGCAAAATTAAACACAAATACTGATTGTACACACCATAGGTGGAAAATAATCTCTATACCTTAAGTATAGCTTTGAATGGCAAATATGCTTGCTTTCTGGCATCTCACTAAACTTCGGGATTTATTACACATTACATGGTACCCCAGTAAGATTTGCCATTCAGTATTTCTACTAGGGATGTCTTCTAAAAAAGTAGTACACTTGATTGAGAGCCATGTTTCCCAAAGGACTTGTGGATGCTTGGAGAAATGGAAGTGGGTGTGTGCAGTATAAGGTCAGTCTTTGTCCCCTCTTACAACTTCACAACGTGTAACGACATGTTAAAAACTCTTGGAAGTCCTATGGAAAGAAAATAAACTCAGCATTCCTCAATTTTAATTGATCATGGAACCCCCTCCCCCATACATACTTTTTATCTCTTACAACATCTATTAACATCTCTTGGAACCACTGCTATAACACGTTTTGCCAAAAGCTGCTCAACTATGAGGAAAAGGGAAGAGAAGTAGAACAATGTACAGAGGAAAAAAGAAGTATTTTACTCTGAATTCTGTTACTAACTGGCTGTTTCAGACAAGACACTTTAAAACCCACGAATTTTATTCTCTAGAAAATGACAAGATCACCTAATTATATATGGCCCATTCTAGCACAGAATGAGACTCTAATACATAGCACATCTTGATTTATAATTCTATTTTCAAACAATCAAAATATGATTGCTCAGCGGCTTCAGATATCACATGTATTTTTTGTACATTCTCAATAATCAGTAAGTTAATAAAATGAATATATTTTGATGGCAAAATGTGTAAGGACAAGATATTGATAAAAAGTATTTGCTTTTAGCTGGAACATTTGGAGTTATGTTACCTGAGGCTATTTCCACCCTCAAAGTCCTACTGTAAGTCTCTTGTAAGGGTCCTGGGAGGCCACTCAAAGCAGACCACAAGATCAGGGCCTGAGTATGAGAAGCCCTGAGGGCTTTTTCCTATAAACACTGAGGTTGAAAGCTCTGGATAGCTCACCTAAATTACTTTGTTCTCATCTAACTTCTCATGGACTGAGATACATTCCTGAGGCACTAATATAACCAAAATGGGAAGTAGAGGTACTAGGCTAACAGGTCCCAGTGTGTTCACTTAGTGGCCCTTTAACTAGAATAAGCAGCTGCATTCCCAAAGCCTACAGAGTTTGTTTAAATACAGCGTCTCCGTGTAACATGCCTTGGTTATCTTCCCACTGTCCAAGTCAACCCACACTAGACTCAGAAGTCAAGGGAAAGCTTGGCCAGCTAACCACTTCTCATCGAAGAGGGCACTGGGAAACCTTGCAATTTTAACGATCACTAAGATGGTACGTGAGGCAGTCTGACAGAGACCACTTCCAGGAACAGAAAGCAATAGGAATTTTGGAACTCAAGCAGGACTCATAATGACATGGAATTTATGTTGAAGATCCCATGCCACCTTCTCTCTCAGAAAAGAAAGGAGCATATCTGCATGGAAAACTTTTATCTCCTTTCCTCCGTCCCCTCATTCAGTTTACAAATGAAGAGTGAATGTAAACTTGAAACTCATCTTTATTTATTTATTTCAGAGACAGGGAATTTGCTCTGTCACCCAGGCTGGAGTGCAGTTGTGTGATCATAGCTCCCTGCAGCCCCAAACTCCTGGGCTCAAGTGATCCTCCCACATCAACCTCCCAAGCAGCTGGGACTACAGGTGTGTGCCACCACACCTGGCTAATTTTTCTATTTTTTGAGTCTCACTGTGTTGCACAGGCTGGTCTTAATCATTAGTAAATCTATAAAATGCAAGATATTATGATAGATTTCTATAGTTGGTTTTTATTAAGGCTACTTCTACTTTACCCATGCATTATTTGTTCCAAGAGAAATTTCCTCTTTCTGGGTCAAATTCTGACTGAGACTCTAAGGGTAGGTTATCTTTGAGACTTGAACTTAAGATTCCTACCTTTTCATACCACTTCATCTCTATGCCCTGTGAAAATTCTGTAAAACCTCTTCACTGAATCTGAGGAAACATGCTGGTTCTCTCCGGTTCTGAGAGTTCCAAGAAGACCTCCCTAGCTGGCAGATCTTCCTAGTCCTTATGCTATTGCTGTAGCAATGGAGAGGTTCAAGTTTCCTGATCAGGACTGTGTAGCACTCTGGGGCACCTCTGCTCCTGGTATTTCAGAGTGATATTATATCACCTGCTAATTTTGGAAGCTCTAAGCTATTCTCCTAGAGCTCAGAGTTCTCCTCTAAGAACATGGTATTCATTCTAATAATTATCTCAGCAACAGCTAAATATTAGCTCGTTTAGTGTTTTGTGATACCACTTTATACAGCTAAAAGCACTTTGTATATATACACCAACTCACTGTGTATAGTATTTGCCTCTTTTGAGTATGTGCTAATTACAGCTATAAATTTACTAGTATAACAAAAACAAATCTGATTTCTTTTTTAACCTTCTAATGCAATAATTTAACTTTAGTATAACACGTGATCTGGCTAAGATTTAAGGAGAGGCCTTCTTCTGAGTTATCTCCAGCACTCGGTGCAGTCCCTCACATGGAGCCTACAGTTTAGCAAACTCTCAAGAAATGTTGTATTGAGTGAATGACTGACTGAATAATTGATTAAAGAGGAGAATGGATTACTTAGTGACCAAATCTAACGCTTGGTGGAACAGCAGATTATAATTGTTGAAGGAGTCATAATAGAAATGAGATCTGCATGTAGTCTACCACATAAAAAACAGTCCAAAAACCTCAGGGTAGCCTTTTCTAGATGGGGCTTTTCTTTAATGTAAGAATAAATTTAAGCTACTTACCATTAACTTCTTAGTGAAAAGATGTTTTAGAAAAAATTATTGCTACCTTTAAATATTTTCCAAAAAGGAAATCTTGGACATTTATGAACCCTTTTATCCTCCATATTCCCCCAGGAGCCAAAAGGAGGGCCTAATGATTGTTTTAAACAGTAGAAAGGGCACAGCTAAGAGCCGGGTTCCAGTCCCAGCCTTGTCATGAACTGCAGGACAAGTCTTCATTCACAAAAAGTGGAGAGTAACATCTATTCTATCTTACAGCACTGTGAAAATTGCCCCAGATGTTAGAAGAAACACTCTATAGGGCAGCGGAGTTCACTGACTATGGAGCCAAAGACCTGAGGCCAAATTTTACTAAACTTTATGACTTGGAGTTGGTCACTTTTCTAAACCTTAGCTTCCCCACTAGTGTGAAACCACTGTAAAATGCCATAAAGCTATATGAAAGCTGATGTAAAGTGGTTGTGACATAATATGTGCAAAAGGACTTTGTAAAATGTAAAGCACTATGCTTGTCATTGTGATATCTGCGATACTTAAAAGTTGCAATTCAGTTCAACAGGCATTCATCTAGAGTCATTTGTGCAAGGCACTGTGCTAAGTGATGTAAAAAAAACACTATATAAATATAAAATTCTGCTAATAACTGGCAGAGTTCCAAATAATGAAACAGGGATATATTTAACAAATCAGAGTATTGCTATACCTGAGATTTTTCACTTAAAACATTTGGAAAGAAAGAACTTAATGATAGCATGAATTCTATCATATTTTTACCATTCATAGCAGCTTAATTATTTTACTTCGATGTGGTCAGGCGAGTTTTAGAATTTTGGCAATCGTATAATGGGGCATGGAGAGAGAAGGAAGGGGAAGAGGTTCAGTCTTTGTGTCTCCTATGGTTGCAACCTTCAACTGAACATCAAATAACCCACCCCACCTTACACTTAAGATTTATTCTTTCTTAAAGAGGGACGATACATTGTGCAAGAAGGACAGAGATTGATTTTTCCTGCTCACACAACTACACATTCAAAGTGAAAGCCCTCTTCATTGAAAAGTGACTGTCTTAGAAAAGTTTAAGAATAGATTTCTTAAAGTAAGAGAAAATTACACTGTATATTCTTTTGACGGCAGGTAATTTAGAGTTCTTAAAATAACTTTATAAATACTTACTATAATAATAGAGATAACCAAAGTGGGAAAATTTCAAGCCATGGTACCAGTGTATAAACTGAAACATTTCAAGCCATCTTAGCAACAGTTAAGTGAGCAAACCACATTTCCGAACTCTCAAGCAGTGTTTTAAAATGCAAAGCAGCCCACAGCAAGTTCTCTCTTGTCCAGGCGTTGTGTATGTAAGGCCAGGAGGCTTCTGCTTCTTTCCTGGGTTCTCCTTGCTAGCACAGCTGAAAGGGCAGGAGGCCACAGCTGAGCTGAATTCACTGTCAAAGTTGAAATTCCTAGAAAAATCATTGCAGTGGGAATCCTGTCAGTCTACTGAAGATTTCAGATCTTCAGAAATGTCACGGAAAGTCCTAAAAGAGGAAAAGATGGAATAACTAGTTAATTACCATACAACAGTGTCTTATTTTTATAATCTTTAAGGACCTGGAGACTATATAGTCACTATTTTTTCTTAATATTTTTCACTGAGTATTCTTTCAAAGTCTGCTAGTTGTCAATCTTTAGTAACAAGAACTCTAGTTTTTTGCTGGATCTATCATCTCCCATCTAAAAGACTATTTCTCCAGACTCCCTACATATGACCATGTGACTAAGTTTTGGCTAATGAGAAGTTAAGTGTAAGTGTTGTACAATTGTGGGCAGTTCCTTAAAACAGAAGGGCAATCTTCTTCAGCTTTTCCATATTCCCACTGCATAGAAAGTGGATACGATGTTAAAAAAAACACTAAGAGACCAAAAATTAAATACTAAGTGGATACATGTTACTACAAAATAGGAAGTTTGATCCAATAGAGTCCAAGCTCTGAGAGATATGGTTCAGGGCAGAAGAAATGGGGTAGGTCTTTTCATCAAGTGATCTTGTACTGTTTTTGATCCATATCTGACAAGCTTAGTGAATGTTGCTAACTGGCAGGTAATATCTGGGCTGGATGGAGGTGGTCTGCTGCATACATAAGGTGCCTATTTCAGGACTATAGTAGCTAGCTTGCGTTTGCTACATTAGTTACATGCCTGAGCTGGGATAAGTCACCCGTCAGGTTTATATCTGTGTTGGCATCCAAATGGCCAGGTCAGAATTTGTCAATGAACACGAGTTCAAGCACCCATCTTAGACAAAAAGGCCTCACACCAAGGCTGGAAGTACATCAGGATGGAGAGAGGCTGGGCCCATTTGTTTGTGGAACAGTCATATGAGCCCTGCCCTGCTTACCTCTGGACTTCTTTTACCCAAACAAGAAATACACTTCTAGCTCATTTAAGTCATTGTTACTTTGGGTTCTATTGTTGGTGGGAGTTTTGTTTGTTTGTTTTTTGGTTATATGTAGCCTAACCCTAACCTATCTTAAATGATGCAGATAAAAAGCACAGTTTATTATCATCCTTTTAGATAGAAGTTATGTTACTCCTTCACGACGACAGTACAAATTAGGAATACAGAAAAATATGATTTTACAATGCTTGCATTTTCAAAACAATTTCACCATCTTCCAGTTATATTAATTTGTAGCCAAATCACTAGGTTATGTTATTCCTTCTGAGATTTTTTATTACAAATAAAGCTAATTTTATTTTCATACCAATAACCAACTATTTGTTACTGTAAACAAACGAATCAACTTTTTCATTAGAAATAGAGCTAAAACAGAATATAAAGTTAGTCTTCCAAAACTTCAGGGAACACCTCACAGTTGTAGAAATAAAACATGGGCAAAAAGCTTTCATTAGAATTACCTAAAAACTCATAAAGCAAATAATCTGAACTTCAATGCAATTCCACTATCATGCCACCTCCCTTATTCCTTTTGTTTTCTTGATTTTCAGTTCGTGCAAATATTTAGGAGGCTTACGCAGGCAGGGCAGAGATAAAGACTAACCTTTTAGCACTATGTAGAAAGTACTTCAGTGTCAAGAGGGGCACAGGTAAAACGTTCTAGAAAAGAGATTACATTCAAGGGTGCTCAGCTACCTCAAGGCTCTTTCAAGGATGGTGCCCTAAGCCTCTTGCACATCTGAAGCATACCTCTATCTAGCACAACTCTACTTTCAAAGGAATAGCTTTGAAAAATAGGTAATCTTCCTGGTTTTGACTCCTGAGGCTTTGAAAGGGTTATGTGTGTCATGATTAAACTCACCATTTTGAAACATGTTGACATATCTAAGAATTGGAATGAATTTTGTTTCCTTAAATATTTCTAGGTTCTGAAAAAAATGTCCAAAAACAAAGATCTACATACACACATGTATGTTTATATGCATTAATATCTATCTATCTATATCAAATCAATGTTTGTCAATCATGGCACTATTGACATTTTTGTGCATGATGTTTAGCAGCATTCCTGGTCTACATCCATCTAAGACAATCAAAATGTCTCCAGACATGGCCAAATGTCTGAAAAGAAAAAAAAAAAAATCAGCCCTCACCCCACCAGGACCATCGCTCTGTGTATCTATTTTTCACAGTCTCACCCAAGTTTTTATTTTTACATTTATGTACAGGCAAAGTTGGCTACAACCCATCTCAGACAATATGAATTTTAGGTAGCACTCAATTTTGGAAAGGCCTAAAGAATCTGCAACCAATAGTCAAAAACTGGCCAATAGTACACAGAACTTTCGAACACCCAATAGGTTTCTTAATTTATCCTCTGATATCTTCTTACATTTCTAAGACATCTGCAAGTTTGAATCTATAACTATTCATTTCCTCTAAAGTATGAATGAAAATTTCTGCCTCAGGGCAAAGATGCAGGAAGTAAGATTTAGACTGTGGTTAGCCTAGTGAGTGAGTGCTTTCTGTTGACAAGTGAGCTTAGCTATAACCTTGAAATTCATACCTACTATTCAATTCTGCCTCCAGGCCAAGAAAGCCTCCAAAAGGGCTCAGGAGAAAGAAAACAAACTGAAATAAGCTTAGAAACAGTAACTGAGAGTTTTCCCTCTCAATGTTATCTCTAGATGTATAGGGTATCACGGTGATGGGGGGTGCGTGTGTGTATGTATAAAACCCTACTGAATTAACAATGGCCTCAAACAAACTTCTAATTATCTCCAGGAAAAGAAAATCCATAACCTGGAATTGTAGACATGATTTATTTCTGGCCTATTCAAGAAGCATAGCTCTAACTAATCAGAAAGGCTCATAAAACTGTAATTCTCTGAATTAGGAAGATACTGGGATAAACACTGCACTGATGCTATTGCTGAAAATGTTTAATGTTCTACCTAAACCATCTGAATACTGTATTATTTCCCAAATCACAGGATTATTATGCTCCTAAGAACCACATCTTTAGAATTTTTCATCTAAGAACAAGCAATGCAGAATGAGACCACATGTGACTGGGGAAATAGAGGACTGTTAACATTATATAGTTCCTTTCAGAGCAGTGAGGATCATGCAGTGTAGTATCTTACTTACTTGCTCCTTGAAGATGTTTCAGAATCTGCTTCTCCCAAAGTTTCAATGGGATCTTCACAAATTTATTTTTATCCCCCATCCCCTAACTCCATATAAATGTTTAAATCTTTTCTGATTTTAACATCTCAAGGCTTGTTGACTACTACCCTCCAGAGACATAGAATAAATTTTGGATGTCTAAAAATAAAAAGTTTTAAGTGACCAATTTAACTTATTTAGTTGGCTCCACAGAGTTGAGTATTTCCTACACCTACACCAGCACACAGGTACAAACCCTCATGACCCACCACTATCATGCATATCCGTTCTCTTCCAACAAATTTGTGTTTTCCAACTGAGGATAATAAGGATTATACAATATAGTCTTTGGAAAGTTAAAATCCTTTATGCTTTATTCTGAGACTGTCCTTCTTACTTGTCTGTTGTTAAAATGTAATTTCTGGTACACCACATAGAAAAACTGTTTTGCAAATATCCACTGAAGTTAAACGAGATGTATAACCAGACATCCCAAGTACTATACACATATCCACCAAAAGACATGTATAAGAAAGTTCATAGCATCTTGATTCACAGCAGCCATAAACTGGAAACTACTCAAATATCTATCAATACTGCAAAGAATAAATAAGACTGTGATATATTTATACACCGGAAAACTAGGCAATAATGAGAGAAGAATGAACAATGGAAAAAGAAAGCAACAAGAGGAATGAATCACATAGATATACTGAGGAGCAAAAGAGTTCTGACACAAGAGTACATATACATGATTCCTTTTACATAAAGTTCAAAAACAGTCGAAACTAATCTAAAGTGACTATAGTCAGAATATTAGCAGGCAGCGGCGTCTGAAAGGCAGCATGGAGAAATCTTCTGGCGTAACGAAAATATTTCATATCTTGATATGGGTGGTGGTTACATGGATATAGGGGAAAAAATCAACTTGTATATTTAAGATGTACATTTCACCATATGTAAGTTATACCTGAATTAAAAAGCTGAAAAAAAGGTATGAGAAATTGGGAAAACTTTTTATACATTATAGTTTATTTTATGAAATGTTGGTGATAGCAGATGACCGGAATTATTTTAATATCTGTACTTGCAAAATAACAAGTTGCAACTCTATATTGGTGCCCCCAAATAATTTTGTCCCAACTTTTTATTTTGAAAAAGTATACACCTACAGAAAAATTGAAAGACTAGAATAATTAACAACCATATGTCCTTAATCTAGATTCACAAATTGCCAACATTTTGCTATAGTCATTTCCTCTCTCCCTCTCTCAGTTTTGGCTGAACTATTTGAAAATAAGTTGCCAACATCATGACATGTCATCCTTAAAGGACATTCTCCTACATAACCAAAGTACCATTATCACACCCAAAAAATTTAACACATATATTATTTAATATTTGGTCCATATTCAAATTTCTCCAATTTTCCAGAAATGTTCTTTATAGATTCCTCCCATCCCCTTCCATCCAGAAACCTTTCACAGATACAGGATAGGGTGTCCTTATTTCTTGAGTCTCCTTCAATCTAGTGTACCATGTTCCACAACCACTTTTAAGTTTTTTATTATGTTTGGTCTTTTATGACATAACAGTTCTGATCTAATTATAGGTATTAAATTTTCCTGGTATATGAAACCCAAAAAGTCTGCAAATAATTTGCATTTACTTAGTGCCTTCTACAATCTTCATCATCACATTAGTACTCAAATACCTTTATCCTGACAAGTCTGGATGAAGCTATTTACCAAATACAGAGACAGGATATTTCAAGGTTTACACTTAGCTTATGATCATTCTGCTTTAACTTACCGCTGAGTGTGAGCAGGCCACGGGGTCTGGTTTGGCGTGGGCACTGAATTTGTGGGACTCATAAGCATGGCACTGTAGATATTGGAAGCAACCACCAGTATGCAGAGGAGTATGGGCCCAATGATTGCTCCTTCCAGGCCTAGGTAGTATGCTCCGCCAGCCACTGCCAAGCCTGTCAGGTACGGATGGCCACCTCTGGAATAAAGAGTACACCAATTAGTTCATGACTGTTAACACACATAAACTGGAGTAAATCTGAAATACGTTTCGAATGAACAATGTTCATTCTTTAATGCACCAGGCTTTTTATTACATCATCAGTTTTCTTTAGCTGAGCTTGATGCAGATATAAAGGAACACTAACTGCAATAATATTGAGATGCAACAATTTTCTTGCCCATGCACTAATGTGTGACAACTGCCTCTTTTTATAGCTCCAATAAGTGAAAGAATAAAGTCAGCAATATTAACAGATATTTTGTGGCTACCTGAGGTGAATTAATGTTGGCTTAGGACAGGTTGTAAGTCACCGGTTAGGTTTACCTCCATCAAGGATAATTAAGTGAGCACAAGTTAGCATGTAAACCAGTTAACTAAGCTTTTTATAAGACAACAATAATAGCATCCCTGTTACTCATAGGTTGGACTTCTGTCAACCTCCTAAAATACACTTTTTAACACAATAAGGATAAAAGGCCTCATGAGGAAAATATCTGTCACAAAGCCTAAGATTTTTATTTCACAGGAGAGTCACAAATGCCCTCCATCTTATCACAATATCACTTACATAAATAGAGTAAAATAAGATAGAATATAGCAGCACAGCACAATGATAATAAGAAATGACCATGACATAAGAGGGACTGAGAGGCCAGGCGCGGTGGCTCAGGCCTGTAATCCTAGCACTCCGGGAGGTCAAGGTGGGAGGATCGTTTGAGCTCAGGAGTTCGAGACCAGCCTGAGCAAGAGCGAGACCCCGTCTCTACTAAAAATAGAAAGAAATTAGCTGGACAACTAAAAATATATAGAAAAAATTAGCTGGGCATGGTGGCACATGCCTGTAGTCCCAGCTACTCGGGAGGCTGAGGTAGGATTGCTTGAGCCCAGGAGTTTGAGGTTGCTGAGAGCTAGGCTGATGCCATGGCACTCTAGCCCGGGCAACAGAGCCAGACTCTGTCTCAGAAAGAAAAAAAAAAAAAAAAAAAAGCAGGACTGAGAAATATGTCATGTTCAGTTTGTTTCCAGTTTTAAACACAGATGAGAACAATTTAGTGAGGGACAAATAACAAAATACACTAGAAGGATATTCTATAACATATAACAGCTTAAATAACTAACACTTGTGGTGAGCCCATCTTCAGGAAACCATACATAATATTCCTAAATTATTTGTCTTCCTCATTACAAAAAAGAATTTAGTGCAGTATTCCATGTATGCTAGGAAATCTTTTTACCTAAACAATATTTTTGAGAAAAATTTCTATCAAATATGCTTCAAGTTTAAAAAAATAAAGTGGGGACTTTCAAATAAAAGGTTATTAAAAATTAAAACAATTTATGCCAAACCTTTCATTTCCTAATGATGCCAGTTAAGTAGTTTAAGATAAAATCACATATCTTAAATTCTACCTGTGAACTTTAATATAAAATTTACAACAAAGTTCAAAGAAATCAATGCACTTAAGTATAAATCATATTCCTACTTCTACTGTTCAAATTTCAACTGTTAAACACTAGTTAACCATACTCTGATGTTCTCCTTTTTAATTTTAACTTTTTCCTCTCAAGTTTTATACATAAAAAGGTCCCCCTTAGACTGGCTTATAAAGTTGCTTGTTTCTTTTTGTGCTGGAACTTTGGGGCTTTAGAGTCATTCTACATCAGTTATTTTTTTACATTAACTTACCAAAGAGAAAACAAGGTGGCATATAATTTGCATTCATTCATTCATTCATTTATTGATTGATTGATAGAGAAAGGTGTGGGGAGGTAGCTAAGCTCCCAGCAAAAAACCGGGTCCCTTTGGTAGAGTTGCAAGGGATAAGAAAATAATAGAGAAAAATGGAAAATGGAAGAAATAAAAGAATACACTGAGACAAAGATATAGTTTTATAAGTTTATAAAGATTATAAGCAAAGTGGGATCTCAGGGGGCCTAGACCTTCTCCGTGGGTCTCAAAAACCCCGAATGAGGCCTTACATGGTAACTTATAGGGAATAGTGAATAATTGCCAGGGGTAACACATTTACATAACAGCAGGTAGTTCCTCTCAGGTTAACAGATTTTCAAAAGGCTTTTACAGATTCCTTAACTAATTCTATCTACGTGAGCAAATGGTTACAAAATCTTTCAAAGGTTAACTTCTAAATTCTAAGGTAAGTTTATCATTTAACAGAGGGGTTAAACAGAGATATGTTGGCTCCATGTTTATTAGGTTATTGTGAATGGAGACAGGTAGTCTACAGTGGTTTAAACAAGAGCTTTGCTTTTAGCCATTCGGGAAGCTGTCTGTTCCGGGGGGCACTCCATTGTCAGCTCTCAGCCTGTAGTTTTTAACAGATTCACTTTGCTTTACAAAGCAATCCAAACCTTTAGGTCTGAGAAACGCTGTGCCTTGTGGGATACAGCCACTACTGTCTTTCAGGGAAGCCCTTCCAAGTGTAACAGCATTTGAAATGCAAACCAACACGTTCACATATTCCTTCAGGGCAAAGCTCTGAAAAATTCCTAAGACAAATCCTGTCTGCAAACATGTTTTTATATTAATTCATGGAGCAAGAGAAAGGGTCTCACTCTGTCGCCCAGGAGTGCAATGGCCTGATCACAGCTTACTGTAACCTCAACTTCCTAGGCTCAAGTGATCCTCCTGGTTCAGCCTCCCGAGTAGCTAGAACTACAGGTGCACGCCACTACTTCCAGCTAAATTTTTTGTTTATATTTAGTATACACAGGGTCTCCCTGTGTTCCCCAAGCTGGTCTGCAACTCCTGGGCCCAAGCAATTCTACCACTTCATCCTCCCAAAGTGCTGGGATTATAGGTGTGAGCTATCACACCCAGTCAACTTCTACATAATTTAAATTAACTGCAGGGTACTCTTTTATAAACTTACGATTCTGTCCATTCTACCTTTAATTTATTTAAAGAAAATAGAATGTATTAACTATTATGACAGTTTCAGCAGACCATATTCTGAATTTGAGTAACATCAAAATTAAACATTCATGCCTTGTAAACAATGTTATTTTAAATTAAAATTTCATTATATCAGTGAGAACTCAAAAGGCTACTTCACTAAAAAATCCTACCACCAGTTCTCTCACCCACTCCCAAGAAAAAAATAACTCCTTAAAAAAATGCCATAGAAATCCCTGGATGATTCACCAATAACTTCAGAAGTTCTGTGGAATACTTACCCGGATATATCAGAATAGATTGCAGTATCTACAAAGTATGTTGGCAGGAGGTGAAAAATCAGCAGTAAAATGGCCTTGCATCCCAACCCTTGTGTCAGCCACAGGTCTAGAACTGCAGGTACTGCTGCCCAATACGTCCCCAGAAATGGCACTGCTCCAAGGATTGCTGCTAAAGCTAATAAAGGATTCAAGGAAGAAAAGCAACTTACCATCATCAGCAAAACAAGCGAACCTAAGCGGTAGCTCCTCCTACTTAAAAATTTCCACCAAAACAAGTTAACAAATACTCACAAACTCAAATTTTAGGGGAATGATACATCCCGTTTGACTGACTTTTCTAGTTAAATAAAGGTTCAATACCTTAAAACTTAATACTGAAAATCTAAAGTGTGTGTCTTCTTTATGGATCTGTTCTTAAGTATTAAATAAAATTTCAGTGTTCTGCAGTTGTTATTCTGGCTCAATGGTTAATGTACAGTCCTATAACTGTAGAACATGTGTCAAAATTTGTACTGAGTCCAAAGCTATCAGTTTCTAAACCTCAGACATGAATGTATATTCTTTACCTTGCTTTTTCCCGGTAAAAATGAAATGTAATTAAAAACAAACAAAAAATCTCTGCAAGCTGAAGGCCCTTGTTTCAAGCTCAACCCCTTGCAGAGCACTATATTCAAGTACTCTCTCTCTATCTGGCTTCTCTCCAGACTGTAAGTCAAGCAGACCTGGGTTCTAGTTCTGGTCCTACCATCAGCCAGGTGTGTGACCTTGGAAAACTTTGGTTTTTCATCTATAAAACAAGAACACCGCCTACCCTGCCTGCCTCACAGGGTGCTTGCATGTCAGCAGGCGGGTTAGTGGATACCACAGTAGGAAAGAACATGAATGAACTTGGGAATGTAAGGAAGGAAGCATAGATGAAAGCGGGGGAGTGGAAATGGTGTTAGAGGCAAATGTGGAAGGCAGAGATATTTAGGAAAATAAGCGGCCACAGAAATAAAGGAAGAAAAAGTGGAAGGAGAGGAACAGAGGTAATGTAGAGGAAAGAGAACGAGATGGATATTAAACCACGTGGTGCTTATGGAATGAGGGTATCAACAGAACAGATCTGGAGACAGCTTATGTGCGCTCAGAAGCGTTCATCTTTGTCCTGGGATGGTCTCCCTCATGGGTATATTATATGGGCACTGCTCCCTGCCAATCAGTTCAATGCAAACATTTATTGAGCACCTACCTAGCTGTTATGCTAAGTGCTAAGACATTCATTCATTAACAAATGCTTACGCAGTGTTTTCTATGTGCTGGGTATGAACCCTGCTACTGGGGGTACGGTAATAAATAAACGCATTACAAATCATATTTCTGCTCCTAATCGGGACTAGATTAGATCTTGAGCCAAAAGATTTAGTATTTTAAACAAGGAAACAGACCATTTCCTAATGTATGTAAAATGGCTTAACTTTCCTTAAATAGAAGACAGTGGAGGCTATGATATGGTTGTTACCTGATGGTATGAAGACAATATTGATGCCAAATATAGTATGAGTGAGCCAGGTGTACAATCCATAGAAGCCAGCCATTTTGAGGGAAGCATCAAACACCCCTCTAGAATGCCGAAAGATAAAAGAAAAAGTAAACCAACACAGTATCATATTGTGATTCAGAAAAATTGACACTTCTACGCTTGTGCCCACTTCATCCCAAATCTAGTAATAGCTTCAATTTTTCTACTGGCCTGAGAATGCTGTTTTCATTTTATTCCAAAGAAACCTAAAGACCTTATTTTAAATCTTGGAATATGTTCAGCAAACTGTTCTTTAAATTTATCTCTGATGAAAAGATAACTGAAATGAAACACCCTAGAATGCCATATTCGCTGAAATAATTCGCCATCTTTTCACTTCTGAAGCAGCAAGAGATAGTACAACTTATAATTCATCATCTTTCTTCTCTCATCAACAAAATTTTCCCACATTTCTTTAACCATGTAACCAAACATACAAAATAATATCCTCTACAAATGCTATCGGAGCATTCAGGTCATTGGGGAAGAATTTTTGGGAAAAAAACACTATGGAAAAGAAATTCAAAATACAAAAGGGATTAAAAAAACACACATATTCAGTGATTAACACAGAAATTTATTACAAGAAAATCTGCAACATCAGGTGCTTTGTGGTTTGCTTTCCAATTGGAAGATTAGTAAGGCAGCACTGTGTAAGGAGGAGAATAAGGAACTATTCAGACAGAGCACGAAGGCAGCAAATCTTAAGCAATTCCAAGGTATCACAAAGTTATAAAAACCAGGATTCAGCACAGGGGCAGGGGAAGCACTCTCATGTACTCACAACAAGGAAAAGCTGAAATTGAAAAAGGAGCAGAGACGACACTGTATACGCAATAAGCACTGTATACGCTTTTCTGAAGCATCCCAAGAGGTATACTATAAGAGCAAAATCAAACTCCGGAACGTAGAGATTCATTTAATAGGGCTCTGAGACATGGCTCTGGTGACAGACAGGGTGGCTGCCCAGTTGTTAAACCTTGTCATCCTGACCAGCAGTTTTCACTACAGAATGCTATAAAGGTACCATGTGACCCCAACAAGGACCTAGACTAAAGTGGTATCAAAAATACCAAAAGGAAGGGAGATATCCTAAGGAAATATAAAGGACCCGAACAGCAACTGAATAGAAGAAACAAAAGAAAAAGAGAAAATGACAGCTTCAGATTTTAAACCCAAAGGGGAAAGAATGGTAGTGTCTGAAAGACATGGAGAAGGCC